TCCTCTCTTTCACTCTCTCTCTTCTTTCTCTCTTTCCACAGTCTCTCTCTTTCTCTCTCTTTTACGCTCTCTTCATTTTTATCATCCCTCTCTTTCTCACTCTCTTTTCTCTCTCTCTTCTGTCTTCTTCTCTCTTCCACCTCTCTCTCTTTCACTATCTCTCTTTCTTTGTCTGTCTTCACCCTCCTTCTCTCTCTCTTTCAGACTCTCTCTTCTCTCCTGTCTCTCCATTTCTCCTTTATATCTTAACTTCTTTCTTCCTCTCTCTCTCGTTCTCTCTCTCCTCTCTTCTTTTTTTTCTCATCCTTTCTCCTCTTTTGTTCTCTCTCTACCCCCTCTCTTCTTTCTCTCTGTCTCTCTTCCACTGTCTCTTTTCTCTCCAGTTCTCCTCTCTTTCTCATCCTTTCTTCTCTCTTTCACTCTCTCTCTTCTTTCTCTCTCTATCTTCTCGTCTTTCACTCTCTTCCCTCTCTTCTTTTCTCTCTGTTTCTCTTTCAGACTCTCTCTCTCTCCTGTCTCTTCATTTCTCCTCTATTTCTCAACTTCTTCCTTAAACTCTCTCGCTTTTTTCTGTCTGTCTTTCACCCTCTCTCTCACTCCTTTTCTCTCTCATCCCTCTTTCTAATTCTTTCCCCTCTCTTCTCTCTCTCTCTCTCTCTTTCCACCATCTCTTCTCTCCATCTCTCCTCTGTTTCTCATCCTTTCTTCTCTCTTTCACGATCTCTCCTCTCACTCTTCTTTCTCTCTCTGTCTTTCACCCTCTGTCCTCTCTTCATTTTTATCATCCCTCTCTTTCTCACTCCTTTTCCCTCTCTCTTTTTTCTCTCTATCTCTCTTCCACCGTCTCTTCTCTCTCCATCTCCTCTGTTTCTCATCCTTTTTCTTCTCTTTCACTCTCTCTCTCCTCTCTCTCTTCTTTCTCTCTCTGTCTTTCACTCTATTCCCTCTCTTCTTTTCTCATCTCTCTTTCTCACTCCTCTTCTTTTCTCTCTCATCCCTCTTTCTCATCCTTTCTCCTCTCTTTCTCTCGATCTCTCCTCCACCGTCTCTTCTCTCTCCATCTTCTGTGTTTCTCATCCTTTCTTCTCTCTTTCACTCTCTCTTTCACCCTTCATATCGCTCTCTCGGCCCCTCTCTTCTCTCCTCCTTCTCTTTTTTATCTCTTTCACCCCCCCTCTCTCTCACTCTGTCCTCTCTTCTTTTCTTTCTCATCCTCTCTTCTCTCCTCTCTCCACTCTCCATTTTTCACCTTCTTTCTGTATTTTACTCCCTCTGCTCCTTCTCCTCTTTCACCCTCTTTCTTTTCTCTTCTCTCTCTGCATCTACCCCTCTCTCTCTCATCCTTTTACCTCTTTCCTACTCTCTCTTTTCTCTCCTTCTCTTTCTCCTCTCTTTTATACTCTCACCTCCCTCTTATTTCTCTCTGTCTCTCCTCTCTTTCCATCTCTCCCTCCTAAAATATCGAGGTCGCTCTCCTCTCAAGCGCCGCTCCAAATAGCCCTCCTCTGCGTCTCTTTCTCTTTCTCCTTCGCTCTCGCTCGTTCTCTGTCCACGTCCCGTCCTCCACGCGACAGGCCCGCTTCTGCCCGCGCCCATATTAGGAAATGCTCCGTCTCCGCGGCGGCGTCCGTACCCTCCTCCAAACACAAACATGTTTCCAAGTGACCCGCTACGTCTTCCTGTTCGCTCAAGATAAACACCGCAGCTTTCATGTCTCCAACACTTACACCGGCCTTTTGTTCATAACAAGAGTCCGACCTGAACCTCGAGAAGAAGATCCCGGCGACTCAGGAGCCTCGTGCGCTTCCTCTGACTTTTTTTTTTTTTTTTTTAAAGGGTCAGAGCTAAAAACAACAAACAACCTCAAGTGCAAAACGCGGCTAAACTGTTTTGTTTTCAAGTGGAAGTTTGTGCAGAGCAGTGGAGAACGTACACAAAACAAAACAAAAAAAAACTGGAGGGTTAAAATCTCAGGGTAAACATGTTTTAACACAATTTAAACTATTTGAAAGTTAAAGGGATAGAGGGATTTTTTTAGTTTCAAATTGTCATTGAAAGTTTAAAATACCATTACAGAAACGTAGCAGCCTTGTAATCATGATGATCAAAAAATAAAAAAATTAATGAAAATCTATCAACTGTGGACGTAGTGAAACCAGATAAACATCAGCCAATAGAAAACGATGCTGCCTTTTTATCTTTGGCTGGTTAGGTTGTCAATCAAACTCCCTATGCGCGGGGAAGATTAGCGTTCTTTTATTCAGACTGCAGTTAACGCTCTAATTCAGATTTTTTGTGAAAACTTCGATTTTTGCGAGGTCGTTCACATTTCCAAATTAAAGTGTGACTTTTAAATGTGACTCCAGTGTGAACATTAAACGCCCGAAAGTGTCCCACGTGTGCACTGGAAACACGACGACGTCAACCGCAGTGAGCGTCTCTGTGTTTACAGGAAGTTGTCCAAACATGGACGCGAGCATTGAGCACCTGGAGATTTTAAAGTTCCTCTCGTACCGGAGCCAGAACATGAACAACTTACTTGTTTTAAGGAGGAGATTGAGAAGGAGAAGGACGAGGTTTTTGGTCGTGGTGTTTTGTGGGACAGTGGCAGTAACGACTGTTGAAAGGAACGTGTGGATGTGGAGACGTATGTGGTGATGTGCTTCGCTTCAGTGACATGGAGTTCATTAACAATTTTCCCCTACTTCAGTGCAGAATAGTGACGTTTGTGGCTTGTTGATAAAGTGTAGGTGGATGAATGCACTTTGGTCATTCAGACTGAAGTCGCATGTCAAAAGATCAGATATGTATCGGTTTAGGAGCAATAAAGTGTCCTGGGTCACATTTGAAAAAAATCAGACCTGTGTCGTTCAGACTGTCATTAAAAGATCAGATACAGGTCACATAGAAGCCAAAAAATCGCATGCACAACGTTTGAAAAAGAACTGTCGCTGTATTTCTCTTTCCTTAAAAACTCCTCTATACAACCTTTGGGGGTCGGAGTTGGGGTTATTTGCCAGAGTTGATATGGTTGAAGTGAATTCAACTTCCCTTCGTGTTAATTTGGCGCCTCCCTCCCACCACTTCAAACTCCCACGAGAGAAAACCAGTCTGAACCAGTTTTGGTGTTTTAAAGAAAATAAAGGCTTTACCAAAGACACTTCAGCTGCCGTGTGCTAATAGGAAGTTTTCCAGGAGGTTTTTCCGGCTCCTTCTGACTCTTTCTCCAGTTGACTTACATTAGGATCTTGTCGTCCATCTCTCTGTACCTGCAGCTGTGAGCCTCGTCATTTTGGTCTTAAATGTTCGTATTAACCTGCGACACATGATCCAGATTTTTTATTTTTTTGGTATTTTGTCTGTCAAAAAAATCCCTACTAGTCCTGTATCCTTGAGCATCGGGAGCCTCATTTGAGCGACTCTGAACACTGTGGATGACGTCACACTCACTTAGCCCACTTCTTTTACACAGTCTATGGGCTTTACATGCACTGAATGTGTTTTTTACAGTGTACCTTAATTTACACTTTACATCACAGGTGTCAAACATAAGGCCCTGGGGCTGGATCCGGCCCTACAAGACCTTTAATCTGGCCCTCGGCAGATTTTCTACTAAAATATTTTAATTATATTTTCTATTAAAATATTGGTGATTTTCTGCGGTGCTGAGCAGAGCAGCGTCTCCAGCGTCTCTGTACGTGGCCCCTCCCACCAGAGCAGCACAAATGAAGACTTGTCTCTTTCCAAACGCTCTTAAAGGACGATCGTTTTGACTGTTGACCGTGACACCCTCATCAAAAAAATATCAAAAATGAGACGATTATTTTATTTAAAGTGGACGTCGAGTGCAGGATTTTACAAGAAAAATTGATTTATTCCTATTTACAAGTTCATGTTAAAACATTGTGTTGAAATTGCAGTTTTCTTAAAGTTTCAGGTTGTTCATAATATTATAATTTTTCTTGTAAAAGAAAGAGTTCATCAATTGAAAAAGATTTCTGTAATAGATTTGTGTTTCTCTGCACAAATATTAGAAGTTATTGTTATTTTTGGGGTTTATATGACATGAGTTTTCTGATCCGGCCCCTTTGGGATCAAAGTCGGTTGGATACGACCCCCGGACCAAAATGAGTGTCACACCACTGAGTTACAGTGTTTAGTTACTACTCCCCAAAATGTAAAATTAACTAAAATAAAGTGTAAAAATAAAACACCTCTGTGTGTTGTTTAGCTAAATCAGGATAACCCTGATTTAAGTAAGTAAGTCTTTATTTATATAGTGCTTTCACAGACATTTTCTGTCCCCAAAGACACTTTACAGAGCATTATTCAGCATTATTCAGCATTATTCAGCATTATTCATTCACTCTATACCTGGTGATGGTAATCTACTATTGTAGCCACAGCTGCCCTGGGGCACACTGACAGAAGCACAGCTGCCATGACACTCGGCGCCATCGGTCCCTCCGACCACCATCACTCACACACACCACTTTCATACTAGGCAATGTGGGCGAAGTGTCTTGCCTAAGGACACAATGATTGAATTGATTATATTTAACTGACCTTGACTATCAACTGATTTACTCTCAAAACATTAATATAACTCTTGATTTTGGACTTAAACTGGAACTTTGGTCCAGTGTTACTTAATTAAAGTGGGAAATGCATTATCTTTGTGTCTTACAAACTCCTTTTTTTCATTGCATTGCCTTTTAGGTGGAACACAAACCAACATGTAGAAACACAAATAAACAGATATTCTGACAGTGAGCGGGGTTGCCTCACCACAGATCTGACCTGTAACCTGGACTGGGTTTGCTTCATCTTTTCGTGTCCATGGAGACCGATAAGTTTAATGCCACACTGCAGAACATTCCAGACAAACAAGACAATCTCCACAGACGAGAAAGTGACCAGAATCTTTACACGTAGATGATTTTGCATGTTTTGTTTGTTTTTCCTGTTTTTTTGTCTTTTCCTTAACTCTTCCTCCTCAGACCATTTGAGATCATTATCCTGATGACCATTTTTGCCAACTGCGTGGCCTTAGCCGTCTACATCCCCTTCCCCGAAGACGACTCCAACGCCACCAACTCCAACCTGGTGAGTCCCGCTTTACGTGTCTCGCTGTTTTTTCACTTTTCCGCGGCGGCTGTGGTCGGAGTTTCTGGTTTGCTTTAGTGTAACCGAGCTGCGTTCTTAAGCTGGGAGGAGATGTGCTTTTGTGATAAAACGTTAGAGCTGCTGGTGGATCATATCTCTGCTCGTGATTAAGGAGAAAGAACCTGTCAGACGCTTCACTGTTGTTTGGATTCAGAAGAAATACTGACACTGGCTTTTAATTTTTATTTTTGTAACCAGTAATTTATTTATTTATTGTTCTTTTCTCCGAGCGTTTAACATGTCAGGATAATAATTTGCTTTTAACGTCACAAACGGCGGAAATTTTACTTACGTTTTGACCTCATGAATCAGACGAGGAGCAGGGAAATGTAATGATTCATTTTGGGTCTTGTGCTTTTATGTTTTGGTTTTGGTTCTGACTGAAAAAAAGGAATTGTTAAATGATTTTTCTAGTGCAGTGGTCCTCAACCTTTTTAGGTCCACGGACCGGTTTTTATGTCCTTTTATATCCTGTTTTAGTCCTGGTTTAGTCCTGGTTTTAGTCCTTGTGTAGTCCTGGTTTAGTTTTGATTTAGTCCTGGTTTAGTCCTGATTAAATCCTGGTTTAGACCTGGTTTTAATCCTGGTTTAGTCCTGGTTTAGACCTGGTTTAGACCTGGTTTAGTCCTGGTTTAGTCCTGGTTTAGTCCTGGTTTAGTCCTGGTTTAAAAAGTCCTGTTTTTAGTCCTTTGGTTTAGTCCTTGGTTTTAGTCCTGGTTTAGTCCTGGTTTAGACCTGGTTTAGTGGTTTAGTCCTGGTTTAGTCCTGGTTTTTAGTCCTGGTTTAGTCCTGGTTTTAGTCCTGGTTTAGTTTTTAGACCTGGTTTTAGTCCTGGTTTTTTTAGACCTGGTTTAGACCTGGTTTTAGTCCCTGGTTTTAGTTCCTGGTTTAAGTCCTGTTTTTAGTTCCTGGTTTTAGTCCTGGTTTAGACCTGGTTTAGTCCTAGTTTTAATCCTGGTTTAGTTTTAGTCCTGGTTTTAGTCCTGGTTTAGTCCTGGTTTAGTTTTTAGTCCTGTTTTAGTCCTGGTTTTTAGTCCTGGTTTAGACCTGGTTTAGACCTGGTTTAGACCTGGTTTTTAGACCTGGGTGTATGGGTGGGAGGATTTGCACTTTCTCTGCCTGGTACCAGTCCAGGGGGGTTGGGGACCTCTGCTCTAGTGGACAAATTCAGATTGAGAGATTCTGCAGATATTGGCTGAAGTTGAAGTTGTCTGTTTTTATGTGTCAAATAAGGAACAGGGAAGTGTAGTTGATTTGAATACATTTACTGAAGAAAAACAAAACAAACAATATCAATATCAATACAATAGGTAAGTTAAAAAGACTTATTGTATTATTTTTGAGTTGACTGAATGAATGATTGTGTAGTTTATAATAAAAAGATAATAGAAACATTGATAACATGAATAACTCTCTGATTTGTTGCTTGCTGTAACTGTATCAAAGGTCACTACAGGAGAGACACACATATCTTAACTCTAATGTAATTGGCAATTTGTGTACTTTTTCTGACTTAAAGGTGCATTGTGTAACTTTTCTGGTGGAGGCTTCGTCACCTGCTTGTTGCTATGGATATGTCATTGCTCTACCTCGAATGTTCCACAGCGTTAAAACAGACATTAAACCTTACATTTATTCAGTTAAATTTGGTTTTATAGCTCAGAAATACCTAGAAAAAATGTCATTCTGAGGTTACGTTTATATGATCTGAACAGAAAAGTGACGTCGCGTCTTCACTTTTTATTCCGCGTTTAGACCAGCGTTTTCAGGAGGAAATCTGCGTGCAGACGGTGACGCAAAAGTGTGTGGAATTTGATTGGATATGCTTGTACTTAAAGCAACGAGGGCATCTTTGAGCGTACAGAAGTTTTCACTGTATGCATTTTCATCAGCTTCTCCTTCCACAAAGTTGTCCCACCATCGACTGGTTCTGCAGATCTCGTCCGTATCCGTCTGACTCACCTGCGACGAACTGGTTGCAGATCCTTTTCTCTGTTCACTAATAGTATCTCTGCAGATTTTGTAAGTTTGTTGGGAGCCTCCTTTAAGTTTATTAGAGCAGCTTCAAGGTCCGACACATGGAAATGATCCGACATGTTTGCAGATCTGACCAGTTGCGTCTTGGGCAGTGTAGACGGAAACGCTACGGTGGAGCTTATTCAACGTTTCCACTCTGGAGGGTGGGTTTCAGATTTTTGTGTTTTTAAGTCCCAAAAACGCCGTCACCGTCTAAACGAAAGGCACTTCTGATAAAATATTTTGTTGTTTTTACCCACAAGTGTTCTCATATAAACAGACCTTAACTGTGAGCGGAGTCGCCTCTCCACAGATCTGACCTGTAACTTGGTCTGGTTTGGTCTCCACGAAGATAGAAATGTTTAATGCCGCACTGTGAAACATTCCAGACGAAGCAATAACATCTCGATGGAAAAAAAAAACATTTGACGGACGCTCCACCAGAAAAGTTACACAATGCACATTTAACTCTTCCCAATGTGTTTTGATCTGCTGTAAATTATGAAGTGAACGGTTCTTAATGCACAACAGAAAAAAAATATATATATATTCCAAGTTTGTGCATCAAGGAAGAAAACTTGAAATTACGCACAATGTTAAGACGTTAAAATAGCTTTTGGTTCAGACTCTGGACATCTGCTCATCTGCAAATCTGACATTATTTTACTTCATTTCCACGCTTTTTTCCCCGTGTTTTGTTTATTGACCGTGACCGTGTACAAATATATATATATATATATGTACTACGTGCTGTCATGTAGATTCGCTTGTTGCTCGGGGGCAGCTTGCAGTCGTATTCCACTGTATTATTGTCAGGTCGACTCTAATCCCGCTGAGGCCCTGTCACATCTGCTACTTTTCCAAGATCCCGTTTGGTTTTAGTCAAATTTCTCCCACCACCTGTTTTTTCGGGATGAGATATTTTAGATTTAAAACGTGTCTCGTGTTAAAGCCGAACGATAAAACAATAAAAATATAGAATTGCAGCTTTTTCTGACAAGATTTCCAATTTGTTTTTAACTAATATTTGCTTCAGATTCGGATTTTAAACACGTCCAGAAGAACTGACAAAAATACTGAAATTTGACCTGACAAACGTGTACCGATATTTACTTTAACTTTAAATATATGCTGATATCCGATACTAGGGTAGAGACTCAAAATATTATTTATTTTCTTTAAACGTGAATGGTGTACGGTTAAATATTACCCATATGTGTTTTGGAAATAACAGAAAATACAAGTTTGATAATATAATGTGTTTTGGGGCAACATTGACCAGTAAATAGTCTTATTACAACAATTTATAGATCAAAATGAGATTTCTCAGAGATTGTATATTATCTATATTTCATCAGAATAAAACAAAAATGTGGTGGGCAGTAGTCAGCACTTTTTTTACACCAAGTATCACAAGGGCAGGGGTCTCCAACCTGGAGTGCTGATGAATAACTTGTATTTATTTATTTATGTATTATTATTTATTTGTGCACATAAAGCAGATGTCACAGAGAAAAACAATTACTAGTATTATAATGTCACAATTTTTTTATTCCCCAAACCCCCCTCCCATTACCCTTCTCCATTGTCTCCAATGGGTGAAAAAAAAAAAAAATAAATACTAATACTAATACTACTACTAGTAATAATAATAATTAATACATTTTAAATAAATAAAATAAAAATAAGAATAAAGTAATAGGCAAATAAATAAATACATTAATAATAATAATAATAATAATAATAATAATAATAATAATAATAATAATGATTAATACATTTTAAATAAATAAATAAAAATAAGAATAAAGTAATAGGTAAATAAAATTAATAAAAACATAATAATAATAATAATAATAATAATAATAATAATAATAATTATTATTATTATTATTATTAATTATACATTTTAAATAAATAAAAATAACAATAAAGAAATAGGAAAATTAAATAAATAAATAAATAAATATATGGAAAAGAGGGAAATACTTTTTTAACTTTATATTCAGAGATAGATATATAGATAGATATAACAAAAATGTTGGTTAATTACATGCCTATTACTTTTGTAGATGTATCATGCAATTTTATGCAGAATAAAACATAAAAAAAGACTTATTCCAAGCTTAGTAACTACTTTAATACTGCCTGACCCCTTAATTAAATTGTTGCTCAGCCTGAATCATTCTCAATAAACTATTTGTTCATGAATGGAGGAAATTTGCCGTCTTTGTAATTTTTTGCTGGTTGCGTCCGTCCGAACTGGGATTTTGATTTAGTCTTTGAGCTCCATCTTGTATTCACACTACAGTAGTGCGGTGAAAACAGAGGTATTTAGACTTCACCAGGACAACACACACACACACACACACACACACACACACACACACACACACACACACACACACACACACGGGCTCTGGTACAGATGTGGTTAATTAGTTTTACAGCAGGCCTCAGACAGACAGGAAGTGTTGTGAAGATTAAAGACAGGGTTCACTGTACACTCTGCCTTTAGCTGTGGACATGTGGCGTCGTGAGCGTCATTAGCTCAGGCCATGAGAATGGATTATAAACTAAAAACAGTGAGCGTAGTTATTCCGATTTGTATTTATTTATTTTTATTTGTTGCACGGTTTCCCATAGATACTGGCTGAGATTTCTTTGGAACTTGGTGTCTTTCTTTTGATTTTATTGAATAGTATTTTGTATTAATGTAACAATAACCAAAATATCGTGATATAAAATCGTCAAAAGTCTCGCACTAATATCGTGGGCTCTCACAATATATCAAATTATAAGTTTCTTTGCTTAAATACGTTGTTTTATAGTAGTAACAGCTTATAAACATTGGAAACTACATATCCCATGATTCATTTCAGCGCAGACAACATGAAGAAGTATGTTTTTGACTTGAATTCTTG